TTGACGTTTGATCCAGGAACTTTGAACTTGCCAGCTTCTATAAGTGTGTGAGCCATTTTCCTAAGATAAATTTCTCTATATATACATATATATAAGCTTTACTGGTTTTGTTTCTCTAGAGAACCCAGTCTAACACAACCCTTTTGACGAAGTCTTTTGATGTGCATAAGAATTTAATTTTTAAAAGGCCCCAGTCATCTAGCTTGTCTTCTACCTCCTCTGCATTCTGAGTTATGTTTGATAGTCTTTTTATGCCATAAATTAGAACTCCTAGATTTGTCCCTATTTTATCTTTGATGAATTTTATAGCTTTGGGTTTTACATTTAAGTCTTTAATCCAACTTGAGTTTGTTTTTGTGCATGGGATGAGAGGTATGGGTCTTGTTTCATTTTTCTGCAAGTAGCTATCCAATTTTGCCAGCATCATTTGTTAAAGAGGTTATCTCTTCCCCATTTAATGGATTTTGGACCTTTGTCAAGATGAGCTGTCCATAGATGGATGGGTCTGTTTCTGGGTTTTCAATAAAATGTATTATATATATATATATATCATCACTAGTGGATGTAGAAGATGAATTCTAGAATATTATACCTGAAGATCACTACCAGATCACTCTGTTTTTCTTCTTTTTAATTTCCTTAAATACTGTCTTACATACTATCTTCCAACTACTTAATCATCTTTATTCCTACTTCACAGATTATAAAGATTACATGAAATGTATCAAAGTACCTAACTCCGTACCTAGGATAAAGTAAGTATTTAATGTGTTTTCCTTTCCTTCATAACCTAAGACCAAACTAATTATTTCCATCAGAATGCAAGGAAGCTGTGATATTCTAATGAGAATATGCATAGACAAGTTCATAATTTCCCAAGTTTTACCCTCTCCTTGGAACTTTAAATAAAATAATATTATGGAACCAGAATCTACTTGTTCTTCTCTGCCCACCTAAATCAATTTTTATCCAAATTCCAAATTTTGTGCTATTATGATGTCTTTTAAAGCTTAGATATGTGAAACTAAAATAGCTGAAGAAACATACACTACAAATAGATACCTTTGTGAAAACTTTTTTTCTTAAAAGGATTCCTAGTCTCCTTAAACCTCATTCAGTCACATTTCTACTTAAAATATGTTCTTTACTCTTCTTACAGACACTGTAAATCTGCTCTTCCTCTCTTTGAAAATGTGAAATCCTGTCAGAAAAGGCAGATTTTATAAACTCATACACCCACAGGAATATTGCAACATGCTAGACCATAACAGTGAGAGATAATTAATTCAGTGAAAGGGGTATCTTATTACTCAGTTTGTAACTCTCTTACCTTTTTTCTAATGATCTTTAGAGCCAGAAAATCTGCGTGCTTCTCACAATATCAATGTTTTCAGTGGAATTTTCTCCTTCTATTCTTTTTTTTTTTTTTTAATTTT